TAATAAAAGCTGGAATGCACTAAAGCCGGAAGGAAGCAGAGCAACAGTGGTGCACTCTGCGCAGGTTGACACGATTTCTCTTTACGGGACGACAGAGTTCCATTGTTACTAACTATCAGGGGACAGGCTAGAGCGGGACAGAGAGGAAGGCCTCACCAAAAGCTGGCATTCAGGCTCACCAGTGGGTAAAGTCAAGTTGGGAATGTTTCCTGGTCCTTGACGGGAATGACTTGGATTGGCAGCACACTTCATTATCTTTGTGAAGCAGAAATACAAACACAATAATGCAATGTGCATCCACAGGAGGGACACAAGTTAATGAAGCATACAAGAGAGACTCATTATAGCTTTCAATGTTGGCTACGATATTTTACAACAATATGTTTTTTGCAGATAAAACAAACAAACAAGGTGATGCAGGAAGATTAGGTGTTCCCCAGATTGCTATTGCACTGCAAAAATGCAGAAAAAAGAAATTATTAAAAACATGAGTCCTTACTGTGAAGGAACTTGCATCTTCACAAACCAGACTCTGCTGACTGGCCTTTTTGGTCTCCATGGAAATGTTGTTCTTTTGGCTATAAAGTATGGTATACAACTCATCTATCTCCATGGGGAATGTTCTGAAATATGGTTTTAATTTTGTTTTTCTGTGGAGTCATACAGGTGATGGCACCTCCAAATTACACTGCATAACTTTTAAAACATACTTCTAGTTAAGGGTTAGAAGCTTATGTTTAATGATGGAGAACTTATAGGCCACATTCAGTTAATTAACAAACACTGCAAACTCCTGGCTGCTTTTAGTGAGTGAACCGAGCCAAACAACCCATAATTCCACACACGCTCGTAGGAACCAGAGTTGGAAATTCCAGTTTAACTAGACTGAGCCTGCCTCTTAACACTAACATGGAGATACTGTGCTGTGTGTGATGGCTAACCTTGGAGAAAAAGGTGTATTTGGGAAGGGTATTCGGTCTGAAGCACACATTGTTTGACTGAGAACACTACAACACAAGGGGAACTCCCAGCAGTTTAGAGCCAACACGGATCACTGAACAAGTCTAGACCAGACAAATGATACAGTGTGCTCAAAGAATGGGACAGAGGACTAGATAAATAACAGTATTAAGGGAGTAAGAGGAGGTTTTATAATTCGGTCAGGTCATGCACACAAGGTTACAACCTCAGAGCTTGTACTCCCACTTTAACAGAAGAAGGAACTTGGCATTCTTCCTAACCAAAATTTTAATGAGACCTTTAACTGTTTCAAATCTTTGTCACTGACGTAAGGTACTCATGAGTTGTTGTTTGTGAGCTCTGCCAAAACATACAAAATTACTTCATGGTTTCCTCATTCTGAAGTGAATATATAGCTTAAATAAACAACATTACCCCATATAACTTGCTTTGGCTAAACAAATGGCAATCAAATCATTGCATATTACATTTAACATCTATAATCTCAGCAATTATTTAAAACACTTCTCTTTTTAAAAGGTATACTGCTATAATAAAGTTGTCTTCATTCAGAGTACTAGGGAAGGCACACGGACAGATGATGTAACATTCTCTAGAACTGCTCTCCAGCTCACCTCCTTTCCTGTGTATTTTTTGGCCTCTTTTCCGTATTAGCGATAGAGTCATGACTTTTCTAGTTGCTCAGTTATATGAAAAATTAATCACAGATTTCACAATAAAGTTAAACGTTTGATTTAATAATGTCAAGTATGCAAAAACTAAAACTCAAATGTCAGTAGTATCTATTTTTTGTGTTTTTGAACCATTTTTATTCTACTGCTGCTTTGCCATTTCAACACAAATACACAAATATGCAACATAAATTATCTTTCATGTCAAGTCCAATGTATGCATAATGTGTCCCAAACTTAGATTTGATTGACCACTGACCATTACCCACTATAAACTATATGAACTTCTGTTAAGAGAAATAAAATAATAAAAAAGGATTGTGTTTTCGTGGCACTTAAGTCTAGAACTATGCAATGTGCTTGTCAATGGTCTCAATGACTGAACGATCAAGTTCTGATGCAACCAAGCTATTTCTCAGTCTTAACAAGTTTGATTATATTACCCAATACACATTTGGGTTACACAGTGCCATCGTTAAAATGACAACTTGGCACAAGTGAAGTGACAAGATGACAACTCATATTTTTTTACACTTTTACTTTGCACTTTTGTATTTAATTTCACTGTCCATTAACATTTTAGCACATTTCTGACAGATACAAATATTGTCATCAATGCATAAAAATAAATATACATATGCATGCATTTTTGTTTTGCTTTTGAGAGTCTTAACTTTTACTGTAAACTATAACTAATCTGGATAAAAGGTTAAATAAAACCAACAATGCACCAAGTGACCTCAATGAATTAGTTGCAGCTTCTTGTGGTTTGCTGTATTTAAGCAACTCTACTTAAAAGGAGCATTGTGGGTAATTTCATTTGTGAAATGTTCTTCGTAAAACATGGCATGGCAAAACCCAAGCTTCATGTGCAGGCCAAATACTATAAAAGAGAGCATAAAATAGAAGAGGAATGTAATGGGGTACTATATGTTTGGGCGAACTATGTTACATCACTCACGGCAGGGAAAAACACACAGCTAAAAGGAGCAGCTAATGATAGCCTTGGTTGACTGTAAACAAGAGCAATGTGTTGCTGAGACATCAAGAAGTCAACAGAAGACCTAAAATTATCCCTAATGCTTAGTTGAAATGGACAAAAACTATTGAGTTATAAGTTACCTAGTTTGATCTTTTAAGCAAGAATGTTATTGTTGTTCTACCATCTAATAATGACAAAAACAAGATGCTTCTTCAGATACCTGGTTTATTTTAAGAGAATTCCCAGAAGCCAAAAACTGGTGGTAAAAACTTTTTGGGGTTAATCTAATGAAGTGCTGGGAAGTTTTTATAAGGAGGGGGTTGTACTAACAGAAAGAGCACTGGAAAGAGGAGCGGGAGAGGGAGACGCAGGATTACGAAACACAATATAAGCGAGAGAATAAACAAGTGCCGGGCTGCCAAGCACTGGCTCAGCAGAGGTACTTCCCCTTATGTGCACAGCTGGATCTCGCTGAGACGGTGAGCAATACACTCCCCTCTCCCAGACACTGACACAAACAGGGGAATTTAGCTGCTCAGTGCAAGGCTACATTAAAAATAGACTTGGAGTAGAAGAAAAAAAACAAGCCAAGTTCCATAATGTGGCACATACTTCTCAAAAGGGTTGTAAAAAAAACATAAAACTAAACTAAAACTAGTATTGTAACTACACTGACATTTGATACTGATCAGATATTGGTAAAAACAAACAACAGTGCATAAATTGGTCAGTACCGGAAATTTCCTGAGATAATATCAAAGAAACTATACTATTTTAAAAGTGTTGAAAATTACTTTAATGTAACTTTTTGGTTGGGGGTCCGTCACCTTCTTGTTTCTATGGATATTTCACTGCTTTGCCTGGAAGGTTCCACAGTAATTATAGTTGGTTTTACAGCTCAAAAATATATATATATATATATATATATATAAAAAAAAAAACAGGCATTCTGACTGTGAGCGGGCTCACTTCTCCACAGATCTGACCTGTATCTTGGTCTGGTTTGGTCTCCATGAAGATAGAAAGGTTTAATACCATACTGTGAAACATTCCAGACCAAGCAATAACATATCCCACCAGAAAAGTTACACAATGTCCCTTTAAATTACCTAAACAAAGAGCGATTTTTATTATTGGTGTGGTTAGAATCAAAACTGCAGTAAAGGGTGAGAACCAGGCTCTAAAAAATGAGGTGCAGAATGAAAGAGAGGAGGAGAAGGCTCTGCTCGAGGCAATCTACAAGTCCATATTCATCCAAGACAAGATGGACCAAAGAACCAAGAGCCTAGAGACAGAACTTGTCCTGACCACAAAGAACTTGTAGCAACCAAACAGGTACAAATGCTTACGTAATAACGTAAGATCATCAAACTCCAGGAGTCTACGAACCATGCAGAAAACACAAGCTAAAAACAAGAGGCTGCGGGAGAAGAGGAATGAGGAGATGCCCAGGCTAGAGGCAAAACTGGTTTAAACAACAAAGACTCCAGAGGAACAGAAATCGACTACCATACTTAACCACTGAAAAAATTGCTGGTTGAATACAGAAGAAAAACACACTCCATGCTTCAATATAACATACACCTAACATACTCTTCTGCAATAGCCTCCTTACTTCAGAGTGTTTATCAGATATTTAGAGCTTTCAACTGAGTGTCAACATATTGTCAGAGGCAAAGTGCTTGCATAGGAAGGTCATGGTGAAAAATGTCTCACATCTTATGCCAGGGTAAATATTTTCTGTGTAATTTTACTGGAAATCCAACTTCCTTTTTTTTTCCATGTGGGTCTTATACATTTTTGGAAGGGGAGTTGAAAGCTGCATGATTTCCTGGCTATATTTCAGTGGTTAAAATGTATGCTAACTTTATTGCATTTGGACTGCAGGGTGACAGTATTAGCAAACACAAGAACTCCCAATTTAAAAAGTGATGCAAGAAGTTGAAGGTTTAATATCAGCTTTGCAACAACAAATTAAAGTTATTTTCATCTACATTTGTCTGACTACACTACATATCCTTTAAGTAAATACAGAGCAATACTAAGAAGAACATTAAAGCTTTGAGTATGTTTTCTGAAGGTATACAATGATTATTTAGTTAATGATATCAATAGGATACTGTAATTCTTGTCACTGTAACTAAAGTATGGTTTAGGTTACACATGACCCTCCCCCTTTATCTTGTTTAGACTAACTTTAAAGTGAATCACTTGACAGATTTGCAGATAAACAGTAAAGCCCACACAAAAAAGTACAATGAGCAGTGGCATGCTAAGTACTGCAACATATTTAACAAATTAAGAACCTGTCTACAGGATATTTTAAATCTCTCAGTCTGTTACGGGAGTGAAGTCTGTCGACTTACAGGCAATTCTGAGGGTTCAGGAAGAAACTCAGCATCTTCTCCAAAGATAAAATCAGGAGGCAGCTCCGGATATTGTGCATTAAATATAATATCCCCTAGAAAAAGAGATAAAAGAAATTAATAGAAGGTTTTTGTTGACAATAAACATTACGTTTACAAGTAATATGAAATTCTGTGTAAGCCATAAGAAGAATAGAGGAATGGTGAACTACTGTATAGAGAAGAAATAGAAGGCACTTACAAAAATGTGATTGTAAATGGTGGTCAGGGGGCTTTGCATTATATTAACTGGACACTTCAGTTTTTTTGTTTTGTTTTTTTTTGTTTTTGTGTGTGACATACTCAAAAATTTCTTGAAACATTGTTGTAAGTGCTTTGCTCTTGTTATTTAATAGAACCAGATTTGTGCCATTTGTGATTGAAGAAATGTATCTATAGACACAGATTGGATTTCTAGGGAAATCTGGCTTTGCCTTCTCTTACAGCAGGACTGACAATATGTCCATGCCTATGTACAAAATGTATATGTGACTTTCAACATTGTAATCTATAATAAAGATTACCTTGAATAGTAAAACTCCAGTCATAACATTCTGAAACCTGTAGTAAATGTTTTTTGCAAGAACAAATGGTTTTAGAAAAATGCTGAATAAGCAAATTACTCTTCTCCTCTATCAGTTGTGACCACAATATCCTTAACAGAACTACTTACTAACAGAAATGTCATAAATAGAAAACATTCATAGCATACAGTGTTACTTTTAATGTATAGAAAAGCATTCCAGTATGCTGAAATAATTTTCTTTTTATTTATTAGCCAACAAATTACATCACCCATTACCATCACCCACTGATAAGGGATCATGGCTTAATTTTAGACCCACGCAATACTGGTATTTATGCTAACATTACATCTCTAGTGTCATAGGCAAAAGAATATGAATTGGAATTTGAATGTGTGCTTGATCAAATTAGAATAAGTGTATGTTTTGACTACATGAGTCATCTAAGTTCCAGTAAGACTAAAGAAGTGAGGACATTTAACTGTCACTCTGCATTTAATGACTTGGTGCTGAGCCTGTGGGCACTAAGCAAAAATATGTTAAATCAATAAATATCTCAATGGAAATTCATATGACAGGCTTAATATGAATTTTAACAAAAAGTAAAATAAACATTTATCTTTCTATGAATAAAGTGACAAGAAGTTGGTACATACATTTTAGTGTCTCTCCAGCGTAAGGTATGTGGAGCTTGAAACGATCACAACACGGTCCAGGAGTCAATGACGTACATCTGACCACAAGACATGTACAGTTAGTATCTAAATTGTAAGCAAAGCATACTATATTATGTATGTACATAATTAACCCTATACAGAGGTTTTTAACATATTTTTATTATTATTATTATTAACTGTACTGAAAAAATAACAACTGTACAGTCTGCTTTTAAAGTCAATTTAGATAAAATAACGACTATCAAAATATGATTACAATTGTGTGCCATTCAAAATGTATCGAATGAGCTACTGCAGTCCTGTTAAACCATTACAGAGTCTTTTGGCATTGCTGAGTACTTAAGTTGAAGTAGTTACATACAGTTTTATGTAACTGAGTGCCCTTTGTTCAAAATAATTGTATTCCCTGGTTCTTGGTGTCAAATGAACCTCCAGACTGTTTTCATTATTTTGCTTGGCAATGACAAATAAAATGTTACTGCTAACCCCATAAACAGCTGATTTGATTTAGAACAAGAATTTGCATTGTTTTGGTCCACAAGACACCTTCCAAGTGCAAAAAGAATTCAGACTGGCAGAATATGTTCTTCGTAAAAGCAATTATTTGCAGTGTCCTACATGCACACATTCCGCCACCAGTGTGTAATGTAGCCAATGTAAATACATTTAAATATATAATGCAGCGCATAAGAAGTGACTTTTGTGTCGCCAAACATCAGTATGGACAAATAAATTCACCCAGTTTTGAGGTCTGTAACACGAAGGCAGTTGGTGGAGTCCAGTCCCACACGCCCATTTCGGACCACATTGCACAGCAGTGGCCGAAGCTCCGGGGTGATCCGGTGCAGCGCGACTTCAGGGGACATATTATTCATTTTGTGAAATCTACGTGATCTGTGGACACATAGCAGCATCACTGTTATTACAAGAATTACAAGATAAACAAGCAGGCTATCCTATGGCAATGTAGGTACCAGAGTAACATTTCTGTCAGAATTGATGGAGTGATTTCTCTTTGCCCTTTCCCTTCTCTTGCTTTATTATGATAGCTAAAGCATTCGTTTGGTTAGCGTTCACTAAATCTGCCTTTGTTTAAGGCAAATATCAGTGTCTTTCTGTATCAGACGGGATGTCAGCATAAAAAACAAACGCATAACTTCATCATCATAATTAAAATGTGCAGGTCATTACCTTTACAAGTTATAAAGTAAAATTAGACCAATGTTTACTTCTTCTTCTTAACATTTCCGGTAATTTGTTATTTGGGTCCTTTAAAGGGCCATGAAGTTGCCTGTTTCTATGCCTGTACAGAAATGTAATTTTTTAAGTTTTAAAATCCTGGAAACATCGATTAATGTACACTAAAATGCTAGTATAACAGCGTACCCAACAAGGGAACAATCGTATTAATTATTTATCACACGTTGTTAAAGATAAAAGTTTTGCCCCCTTGTCTATGGTCGGTACAACGTCACATGCGGACGGACAGACTAGACCGGGGCGCCAAATTTAAGGATTCTGAGCAATCGAAATGACAAAACTACGTAATATAAGACAAATGATGCAGCATGATGATGTTTAGAACCTATTTCGAGCGACCGAGCCACAGTTTATAGGGATTTTACTTGGTCAAGGTCAAGAGTGGTGGAAGAGCTGGAAGCTTTAATTGGATATCCTTAATTATATTTAAAACTACCAAGTTTATTAAACTGTTATTGGCTAATAATGAACAAACGGGTTGTGGTTGTTATATTTGTGAATATATTGAAATGTACTTTTATGAGCTTTTAACCATGTTATAACTGTGTCATTAGCTTACTCAAAGTTGCATTAAGACATGGTTGAGAAATCCTGCATTGTCCTCAATTTAAGGCTGGAGTGCTGAGAAGATGCTTATTTTCACCTACCCCCTATCTCTGCTCACTTCTCTGTACTTTGTGAAGCCTAATATTAACACTAGCACTAAACTCTGAAAATACAACCAGGACCATACAGGATTACTCTTAAGGCCACTCTACTTCACCCTTTAGGTGCACTGTGTAACTTTTCTGGTGAATCGTCAAATGCTTCTCTTCATGGAGATGTTACTGCTTTGTCTGGAATGTTCAACAGTATGTTATTAAACCTTTCTATCTTCATGGACATTAAACCAGACCAAGTTACAGGTCAGATCTGTGGAGAGGCAGTCTGAATGTTTGTTTTTCTAGCTATTTTGAGCTATAAAACCACTTGTAATTGAATAAATGTAAGGTAGAGCTGTTTAATGCCATACTGTGGAACATTTCAGGCAGAGCAATGACATATCTATAGAAACAAGCAGGTGATGGACCTTGGTTGGGGGTCCATCACCTGCTTGTTTCTATAGATATGTCAAAGTTACATATTGCACCTTTACCATGCAATCAATTGAGATGCAATTCTGAGCATTCTAATGGGGGAGCACCGTTATTACATGGTTCATTTGACATACTTCGTAAAATTTGTAAAATAATAGTTTGTGCCAACATTTAAACATCATGGTTAAACACTTGCACATAAATTGTCTCTTATCACGTCATGACCTCAGCACTCTTTCTGAGTTGTTTGCATCGCTCACATGTGTGGGTAGCTGTGTTATTACTCCATCACTGCTCAGGTAATACTGTCAAAGACACTCATTTTTATGGTTCATATCCAACTAGGGTTAGCATATTTAGCTTGATAGGCGTTTGCAGAATTATGGCGGTGTGTATTTAGATTATAACGCGAGTTTAGCCGTTTCCGAAGAGCTGACGGTTTTATATTACAATGCGAGCATGCAAATGCAGCGTATACATATAGGAAATGCATGAACTTGAAACAGTTTAAGGACGATGTATACTCCAGTATTGACATTTCCAAACGTTGCCTGCTTGGGTCCTTCAAGGACCCAGATTTGGATATCTTCGTGTATGCCTGTAAAAGTGCGAATATTTTTTGTCTTAAACATGCATATTTTCTAAGGTTTAATGGCGTATAACGGATATTTATAACCACAATACAAAATATCAGGTAAAATTATAAAATGTTAACTGTCCATTGGACATTTTATGAACGAAAATGAATCGGGCAGCACTGTGCCACTTCAGCGCTGACCGAGTTTGTGCATGATCTTTGAACACTGTTATTATAGTAATTTTCGTCGAGTAGGCAAAGGATTCTGCTAAAGGGAACAACTGTCCAAGGTAAATACAACACAGTTCCCTCCAGACATTTGTGGCCATTTGAATATGACAGTGACATGAGCATTTTAACTTGTGTAGCAATAGATTCCGTGTTGTTTTGTGTGTGCCTGTTCCACAAATATAACTAGTATAAAACATAACTATGGACCTATTCTAGCCCTCAAAATTACACAGAACACTGTGCATGTCTGCACAAGAAAATAGAAGTGTATCAACTATGTAGTTCATTGCAATGTTATTATGCATAACCACTGTCAGTACATCCCTCTCCAGTACAGATCTAATATTCTTCTAGTGTCTTTGAAAAAGACTCCAAGTTTATGCCTATGAAGTGAAGACAATATGCTTGGAGATGTGGGAGAGAGAATTGAGCCATCCTACAGCCAGCGGCCAGGCTTTCCAAGTGTTCTTCTGACTAGGAAGAGATTTGAGGAGATTAACTCTCAAGCATTAGCTCTGATACAAGCAGAGGATTGAATTAATTACAGGCTCTTCTGCATGGGGTAACACAGAAGCATACCCCAATTCAACCCCCAATAAACCTGGCACCTTTCCAACTCAGGCAATGTTGAATGATCTATTTATACCTTCATTTATTGCAGCCAAGTGCACGCAAATGTGTGAGATAAATACTTTCAAGTGTTTGTAAAATAAGGAGAACCACTGAGTTTACATATTTTGGCTGAAATTGCCTCAGAACTCATCCTTCTTTTGAGTTATGGTTTTCTCCAGCTAGATATTTGACAAAAATGTCAATAATTTATATAGTTTAATAAAGCTGCTATTTTCATCTCATTGTAATCAAAGCTGTGTGTGTGTCTTTCAGATGACATCGGGCAAGGTCTTGGACGTGATTGTTGTGGGCTCCTGTATGACTGATTTGGTGAGGTGCGTAAACTAAAAATGAATTCTGTCTTAAAGTAAAGAAGTCTGATGATAAGAGCATTTTTGAAGAAGGCTTTCCGTGGTTGTTAGTTTTTCTCTTGTTTTGATCATGACTCATAACATCAATATAAATACAGATTTAGATGGATCAGGAACTGAACATTAAAAAGCATTGTTTGATTACTGGGGCATGGTAAGTAATATTAGTTATTTTAGTCTGAATGCAGTTGTCCTGTTATTTCTAAACTTTATTGTACATCAACCCATTCCTATTTTTTCTCTCAGATGTTTTGTTTTTAGTCTTGAATACTTGAAAATGTATGACAATGTCTTCAAGACTTTTTCCATGAACAGCACAACCCTGTCTGTACTTATATTAAGGAAGTGGCTATTCTTAGACAAGAATACAGACTTTGTATTATAATCATTGACCTAATACCGTTGATTTGTAGCAATTAAAACAACTCAAGTTTAAGCATTCAATGTGTGATAGTATGATTGAGTAAATTAGTGCTGAGTAAAATGTCAGCATTGCATCATCCCTGCATGTGGCAAGATTTGTTGAGCCAACTAGGATCCTTTCCCACAAATCATTAGTCATCTACTGTAACACAAAAGGCTTAGTTGAAAACAATTTGTCACTTGTATTTACCATAACCTTTGAGAAGACATGACCCAACAATTAGATAAAACTACAATAGTAGAAGTTCGACAAGGCCTAAGCCTACAAGATTCCTGCTATTATGTTTGAGCATGCTGTATATTTTTCTGTCAAGCTGCCACCTGGCTGTCAGCAACATCTATTTGTGACATGATTTAATTCATTTGACTTGAGTTGAGTTATCTGTCCAACTTTCAAACATGCTGGAAACAAGCATTGTGCCCTTCCCACTTTTTGGCAACTATTTATTTTGCTCATTAGTAATTCAAACAATAATGGGTTGCTTTGAAGGACAGGAGTTCTCAATTAAGATCCTAATAGGCTAACGGGAAATGGCCTGGTTTTTGGGGTGTGCACTGTTGGGTTTTTGGATGGAGGTCAGAATGCAGAGGGGAGGGGAGTTGTTGGAATACAGCCCTTCAAAGTGATATGTGCAGCTTTGAAGTAAAAATCCAGTTGTCTTAAGCCAGTTTTCAAGTGGCAATGGCCAACAGAGACTACAGTTTTTAAATAAACCATCCTTTTCGCATCTACCTCATGGAGATTTTCATTGTGATCCTAGGCTATAAATGTAACTGATTGGGGCTGTAAAATGCACTGTACATATCTTGGTTTGGTTGTAAAAAGGTTATGCCGATTTTTCTGCTCCCATAAATAAACATTGGAGAAGTAGCAGCTTACTAACCCTATTGTCAAAGCCATATAGTGCCCCCTACTGCTGCAGCAAACTGCACAAGTCCAACAACTCCACATGCTCAACTTTAAATAGTAAAAATAACAATGTCTCTCTTTATAGAAGTTTTAGTCTAAGACCGCAAAATAATATGAATGCATAGAAACAGCATTATGATCCCCAGAATATCTTGTACACATTCAATACAGTGGATAGTAGGGCTGTACAAATAATCACATTTTAAACAAGAGATCGAGATTCATTCATTTTTAATTGTCAATTATAAGGTTGTGTCTTTTTAATCAAGAGGTTTACAGCAAATCCTCTACCAGTAAAAGCATGTGGTTTGCAGCAGAGTTCAGAATTTGGAGGGAGAAATTATGTTATGTTTTAAATCGCAATCATGAAACATTTGTTCAAACATTGAAAGTCTTTGGTATTTGTTTTCAAGAAGAAATATTAAAATAAACGTTGAGATTGTTAAATATGAAGGGGTAAAATACTGATAAATAAATTATCTTTTTTATGCTATTTTGGTAACCAGGAGGCTTGCTTGATTGCAAAACCTACAAATGTTATTCTTTAATTCTCTTAAAACTTATTAGAGATTGCCTTGCCCTTTCACCATGTCCACAATTGACCTGTTTCAGTCCAGACTTTGTTTTTCCACACTTTGTCCACTTCCCCTCATCTCTCACTCACAGCTGACTTGAACAGTGGCCGAGGGAAATGAGAACCAGCCTTTAAGTAAACATGTCGCGTCACAACACACCTGCTTTGGCGTTTCGGTCGTGTGAGAAAAATCTCTTTAACAAGCAGTAGTTTTCCTGTAAACTCAGAGCAGACAACAATGTTTTTGTTTATATGGTCAGTCTATGAATGTGGACATTCACTTATGTAATTAAATGTTTTATTACACATATGACAAGGAAGAACCTGCCTGCTAATTTATCTTTGAATGCCCTCACAATATTGCTATGTATGAATGCATTTTACATTTGCTAAAGCCTACAATAGATATATTGTGATACTTTATTACTATGGCATTAGAAATAAAGCAGTTTTCCTTTTTAAATTTCACCCTGTTCTGACACAATAAAACATTAACTAAGATGCCTACACCAAGGTAGGTGGAAGAGGTGTGTGCGAGTTTATTTACATGAGTTCGACCTTTGTTCAGCTTCCTTGTCTGCACTGTTCAGGCTCAGTGACCCTGCATCCTGCTATAGCTTTGGGCATTCCACTATGTTCACAGACCGCAGCAAAAACAACAGGGTTGGCAGCAATGCCATCAGTCTACTTTAGGTCACTGGAAATCCTGAGATTGAGCAAAGTTACTGTGAAGGCACACCTGCAATTTAGACTGTTAAGTGTAAACAGTGGACAAAAACAGGTGCATGACAACATTTTATCATCCACTTTGGCCCTGGCTTTGACCGCTCAATGATGTTCAGTGAAAATGACTATAACCAATGTCTTACTCATTGCTAGCTTTTGTTTAGTGATTGCTTAATTCAGAACAGATTCTGAGGACAACCACCTGTTGCACTGCACCTTCCAGGAGAGGGGGAGGGGGGGCTCTCCCAACCCTGGTGAGTCAAGTAATATCGCGGCCAGTGTCAGATTGAAACATTTTTCAGTTGAAGAGGTTGCATCATGAGCACATTTGGATACTTATACCTTTATTAGTGTTGTGTGATACTTTATTTACACCAAACAATGTTGGAAGATATTAAAAGAAATATATTTATTTATTTATTTATATATATCAACATTCAAACAACTGTTTCCATTTAATTCCCACTGGATTACAGTGGTCAGTGCATTTCACTGTTTTGGGTTTTCCTCTTTTCTCATGCATCCTTCAGTGAGTCAGTATAACCATATTCCTTGCTGTGTTTTTTCCTGTATTGTAATTCTAAAGAAGGAGGAGGTTTTGAAACTAAATTGAATCAAGTCAACAAAGAATTTGAGTCTGTTCATTTAAAACTTCAGTCTTTTAATCCATGTTTTTGTTTTTTGTTTTAGCCAGGCACCAAGATTACCTAAAGCAGGGGAAACTATCCACGGTCACAAGTTCTTCATCGGGTTTGGCGGTAAAGGAGCCAACCAGTGCGTGCAGGCTGCAAGACTGGGTGCAGAGAGTGCAATGGTCTGCAAGGTAAATAACAAAAGTCAGCAATTAACAATGGTTACCTCTAGTATATCTTCTGGTACATTCTATCTTTGTGTTATTATGTAGAAATAAGTGTGGATTATGCTCAGTTGATGAAAAAGAGCAGTTTGTGATTCTTATCACAAATCATGAGCAATGAGCTTTTAGTTACCAACACTGAATACCTTGTAGCTTCGTTCATTTCACAACTTCAACTCACTGCACATCATTTTCTGTTGATCAATACCATACTGCATGCATACACCACCCACACTGGTGCTCCATCAAACAGGCCTATTCCCAGACTATACAACCCCAAGTCTCCAATCAGTAGGCTGAAAGTGGCCTTTCAACCTGAGCGCTAAAGCAACGAAGCCCCACCTCTGTCAGAACAAAGAGGCCCGATCGATAACAGCGCGGTGCAGGAGGAGCTCTCCGGGCATGGGGAAACCCAAAAATAGACACCCGGGTTTGACAAAAACATCCAAGACACAAGGCCGCTCTTCAAAGAGAATGGGGCCAAGCAGCCAATACCAGCCCTACCCATTATCACAGCCAACTGCAAGTGCCCGAGTTTTGGCACATTTTTTGGAAAGCGTGGGTTCGTTTTGAGCGCCTCGGGGCAAGGTGGGGACCCCTTGAACAACCCAAAGTAGCTACAGATGTGGACATCCCAGTGCTGAGCCGGCGAGGAAGGGAAACTAAACCGAGGTGGGCATGAAGAGGCGTGAAGGCGGGGTTATCTTGTCTTCAAGGCTTGGCGCAGCTGGTCCTGTGTTTTCACGTATGTGCATTTTCTTGGCTATGTTTGTTCATTTCTACACTTTTTTGTTGGCGGCACGATGCCAGTATGCTGGCAGGGCACACAAAAAAACAACCCAACAGAGGTTTGAGTAGACTACTTTTCAAAAGTTGCCGCTAACCAAGTCTGACCTTGCTTGACTCTTTCTTTGTTGTAATCGTTTTGCCTTCTGTGTTCTGTAGGTTGGAAAAGACTTCTTTGGAGACAATTATATCCAGAATTTCAAGGACAGCGGTGTGCACACAGGTAAAACCGGGCTATATTTTTGTGGTGCATGCAGTATTCTACTTACAGTATGGAGCCTTTTGTCTGTAGTAGGTGTTTAACACAATAACACACAATTTTTTTTTTAACATTTAACATTTTATTATTGTTTTATTTTCTCTTAAAGATTCCTTTTTTCATGTGAAAAATATATAAGTATATATTACTATATACTTATATGTATTCTACCTGATTTCATATATTTTGATAACACACAAAAAACACTCACTGGCATATAACTAACTAACTGATTCTGTTTTATTCTGATACAAAATGTAAAATGTATAATAGTATTAATATTAGTCATTTTAATGCTTTTGAATGATTTAATATGTTAAACATAAGTCATACTTTTAGAACTGACTGTGACTCTTTTATCCTCTACAGACTTTGTACGACAGACCTCAGATGCAGCAACTGGGGCAGCCTCCATCATTGTCAATGATGCAGGTAAATGCTTTTTCTGTCTTTCTTGTCACCTCCCTGCTGAGATCTTAAAAGCTCCAAACTGTGGGTTAGTGCTCTCACCCCAAAAACAAAAACACCTTTTAGTTTTCTTGTTCTTTACTATTCTATTACTCTTATTACTTACTTTTCTACAAATAACTTTACTTCTTTTTCTTAACTGTTGTAATGAAAACAAACATACGTGTCACATGCTGCAAATGTATATATTATATAAAGTTTTAACTCTAGACTCTCTAGATCATGAGGGTGTGGTACAAACGATGCTATTTTTGATCACTGTTTTGTTTTTGTCATCTCAGGGGAAAATGCCATTGTAATAGTTGCGGGTGCGAACATGTTGCTGAATGCTGAGGATCTAAAGGACATGCAGCCCTCTCTGAGCCAAGCGAAAGTCCTGGTGTGTCAGCTGGAGATCAGCCCACAGACCTCACTGAACGCACTGTGTATGGCTCGGGAGAGTGGAGGTGAATGAGGGGTCCCCAAGTTACTCAAACACTGCTGACTATAAAGCTTATAGTCTCTCTAGATGTGACCACCTAGAATTGGTTGATTTTTCTGATAGATAAGGTCTTTGATTAAAATAAATCATAACATTATGCCAATTACAAGTGATACAAAATAAATATTATTTATACTAATATATTTAAGATTACTTTGAAGATAATAACATGTTGCTTTGTGATTGATATAAGTAGACTCAGGCCCCATACAGTGTTCTCTGTTCATTTGTCACCTTTAGTCATAACCAGGTTACCGAGCTAATCATCTTTAACAGTATCCTATTAATAGAAGCCATGCGCGTCATCCAAGACGTCTGAGGAGCTCTGGGTTCTGCCGCTGTAATGGCTCTCCGCGGGCTGCCAGAACGTAGAGTCGCAGCAGAAGCACGTTGCAGATGGGACACCCAGATGGCCTTGTGGAGACGCTCTCTCTCTGGTCCTTGGCCCCCTCCTCTCTCTGAGGAGTGCAGCGGGATTAGGCTCAGCAGGCGCGAGAAGACACTTGGCAAATGATGCCACCTCGATGTTGCTGCACCAGATCATTGCGTAAATGGAGTTCTCTGGAGAGAATGGGTGTTAATGGGTTTGGCGGCAAGGATTTAATGACGCGGGGGTGAAGCGCCGCTCAAATTACGCAAATGTCACCATCAAGCCACACATACTGAAGATGCCAGCCCTCACATACACTTGTAAAAGAAGTATATTCAATATATCCAGTATAATTGTATGTTATTCTGCCAATTAAACAATACTTTATGTCAACAGATACCAAGCAATTTGGATCCTCTTCCATATCTTCCATATAGGAATATAAATCATTTCTTACCAAAGCGGATATGGTAGGAGTTATGTAGTTGCGCTCTTTCCTTCTTCCGTCCTCTCTGCTCTTCCTCCCCCACTTCCTTGTCTGTGTGCGAAGCTGCTTTTTATTTCTCAGCAGATGCAATTAGAGCCTCTTAAAGCCTTTTCACAAACTCACTGGTGACTCACTTCTTTTGTATGTGTGTCACTGTAAAACTGTGTGACGATCTCCATCTCTCTGTCCTTGTTTTCTGTTCACCTTTTGACCACAGGAACAAACTGCTGCGTTATTGGACTTTATTTGGCCTATTTGGTAAAAAGCCTGGCCTTTGCACACATGTGCCACCTGACTCTGAACTCAATCATGACACACACCTTTATGTCATGAGTCAGTGCCCACTGTTCACACATCTGTCCCAGCAGCCCTTGGGCTTGTGTCTTTTAAGTTTTTTTGTGTTATAAAGGCATCTAGTGAACACAACAGAACAGAGAGAATCTAAATCATAATTAACTAACATATCCTCAGTCTTTATTTTAAGGCTTGAAGATGGACTCGATACTCAATACTAATTCAATACCATGATGATAATAAAAAAACAACAACTATACAATACAATATGATTTTCAACATTAAATCATAGTACTTTCTTTTTTATTACTAAGAGGTTTTAAATTTATGTAATCCCTCAGTTGTCCAGGTAGATTCCAAAATGGTCAGTGGCTGTATTAGTCTGTGTGCTCATATAATTGTTCAGATACACCTCAAGATCTTTCTAAAGCAATTAAGGAAAGGTTTATTTCGGTTCTGTTTATTTTCTGGATTTCTGACTTTTCTTGTATGTATACTAGTTCAAATGAGTATCTAGTTTTATTACAAGTTTTAATACTGAATAGTATCTGATTATAATTATTATTATTTTTAACAACCCTAGTATACAGTAGTCTGAAACCATTTGTTGTTGAAAAATGTGTTTTTCAACTATTGCTGTTGAAAAATGTTTCTTTAAGCAAATCATTTAAACCCCAATTGAGTACTTTATGTAATTAGCCATTTCTTAAATTCTACTTTGATCTTGAAATGTATCTAGGTAATTACAAAAGGAAACCATGAGTAAGAATGTTTTAGTTTTAGAATAGTTTATAACTTAAAAACACCCCATGGCAGCTGAAAATAAAAGAGTTTGTTTCATTCTTAAACTTTGCATGTCTGTGACCTGTGGCCCCAGTGGTGTAAAGTGGAGCTATGGAAATGAAGGTGCAGCGTGTTTGACACAAATGTCGAGCAGGATCAGAGCAGATGGAGCACGTCCGTGTTGGAGGGCACGCATGTCATGGCCCGGCCTCATTTGGGTTTACATACATTCAGTACAATCCAAAAACAGAGGGAGCGCTCACTCACCAGCCGCCCAGCATCCACCTCAAAGCGCCAGGTGGCCAAAGCCCTGTGCTAACCCACGCAGCTGTGCTCTGACGGGCCCACGCAAACATACACACTTTTTTACACAACAGACTTTGATGTCACCAACAGCCAACATACATTTCCCTTGCAGACGCACATTCACTGGCACAAGGCTTTATTTTGTACACAGAGATATCAGAATTAATAGGGCTTATCCTCGCACATACACAGAAAGCCTGGTATTAGATGCATTAACGTCGCGCTCTCATGAATATACATAAGACAGTTGATGTGCTACACATACTGAGGATTACTTTTGACAAATAGGGCCTCTCTCTCTCCCTCCCTCTCACGTTCACTCACTCCTATGCTCCTTAACGCATAGAGAGGGTCATTTGGTCATCTCACCCACTCACTGGCACACTATATGTACACAGTAGAGGTATACGTACTTTGTGTAGATTTTTTATTTTTTACATAACAGCAGGGATGGGTCTCTCTGTATAAAAGCCCTATATGTGTTACTCTGGCACTCAGCTTCCTCTTCCAGTTCTAGTTCTGGGGAATGCTAATTTCATCGTTAAAAGGTGGCTTTATATAGAAGCTTATGCACTCGCCCCAGAGAGCAGTCCCCTGAGGAGGCCCATTTGCTTTGTTCCTATTGAAAGTTTAATTAAGGTAATGCCAGACCTTGACAGTAAGCCTGTATCCAGAGGGAGTAATTATTACACAATTGTACACCGTGTCTCAGTGGAGTATTGTCAAAAGCATTTAACAACCCTGACATATTCTGTTTGGGTTGCAAATTACTGTTTATTCTCAGACTGACCCTAAGATGAGTAGTTTTGACTCTATACCTAAATAGACTGCTCTGCTTTTCTTGCAGTGAAGACCATATTCAACCCAGCGCCAGCAATCCCGGTCTTGGATGAAGAATTCTACAAAGTGTCTGATGTGTTCTGCTGTAATGAGTCTGAGGTGATGATTCACACACACACAAACCACACACAAAACAACTGGCATCTTCAGTCCCGCAATAATTACATTTACAGTAAAGGAAGCTGAACCAGTCATTACAGGTGTGCAGTTAAATTAAACTATTTTAATTTTTTTTTTAAGATTTTGTGAAATGTTCAGTATTAATAGTATAAGACAAAATACAAATTATTGTTGGCAGAAAATATAAAACTTATTTACATACTTATATATTACATATTTAAAATTATAAATTCTTATCTCCCACCTAAATAAAAGCTTTTTGTGGATTATTTTTTCAAAGTATTTAGCAAGAAAAGATTAAAGGGGTGTTCCCTTTTCATTAGCTTATTTTATTTCCATTCATTCATGCGTGTTTGAGTAATCCTAGTAAACTTTAGTAAGTATACTTTATTTATATAGTGCTTTTCACAGATAAAAATCACAGTGTTTTAAATCCTGTACGTTCTGCATGGAAAACTTGAATACAGAGAAGATTTTTGTTTTCACCTAGCCCCTATCATGTGGGCGGGGATAGGAGCTAGGTGAAAACAAAAATCTTTCTTGTGATTATTTAAAAAAAAAAAATCCAGATTCCCGATCATGCATGTGTTTCTTTTGTTTGTCTTTGAACTATGTGAAGCGTCTTTGAGCATCATGAAAAGCTCTATAAAAGTGCTATGTATTACTATTATTAAGTAGGATTCAGAAATGTCATGTATCAGCAATAAAACCATATAAATAAAAATCCACTTCTTACTACACTGAAACAGCACTATGAAGAAGTGAGGCTACCCAGTACTGAAGTTTTTTAACAGAATATTATTTTACCCATCTCTATTACAGCATTAAAACGTTAGACATTATAGTGTACTAAATACCTGATCATAATTTAATCCCTCCCCTTTTAGAAGAGAGGAGTGGGATTAAATACATTTTCTTCTTCCCACTTCTTTTTGGGCACATTTTTTGTTGTTGTTCTTGATTCTGTTGATATAATGACACTAATGTCAATATGGATAATACTATGTTCCATTGTAAAAGAACGTAAAATGCTTAATAAATACTATATCTTGTTTTTTTAGGTGATAGAAATTCTTCCACCAGCTCAGCATATTTTCAAAGTTTCACTGAGTCTTTAAAAGCATTGTTGATTGAAATGCAGGTGAGAAAATCTTTTGAGAAAGGTAGACTGTAAACAATAAAGGTTTCTGCTTCAGCTCCTAGGTCCTGACCTCTGTCCAACACTTCATAAGGCTCCAGTGTAGCCTGCAGCAGTACATGTAATAACACTATGAACAGACATGTTGGCCCACCCTTCTTTACGGTAAAAAACTGTGACATGGCACCTGAGTGTGAGGTGATGACAGATGAGTTTGGAGGGGCAGGGGTTGATGGGAAACGTAGTAAAAACAACAGGCAGATGTGCTTAGGGCCTGAGTCAGCGTGCCGCGGGGATGAGCTGGAGGAGCCTGGTCTATTTGAAGTAGTGCTGCTGTCGTATCCAGGTGTGGGACATGAAAGGGAGAGTACTCGAAAGAGTGACTTGTATTCACTTTTCCACAGGTGTCAGGGGTTGTAGTGATGGAGTTATGCATTATGCAGTGTGCTGAGGTGTAAAGGACACCACCTCTTGTATTGTGTACTTGTGCTGATAATGCCAATAAATAACGTAATGGCCAGCCACAACCACACACTTTGACAAAACTTTACAAAGACGAGTGAATCTGGAGCTGTATCCCGTCTCCCAGATTTTACAGGGCATGATTGACAGGCCGATTAACCAATCAGAGAGACACATGGTCCTTTCGCATCAAAAACAAACATGACATTACACGTAAAAAGAAGAAAAACAACAGTGCAGACTTTGTAGAATCAACAACTGAAACAATGAACTATTACTTTTCTCAGTACTTTTTGTTAATCCCAATGGTCATACCTCATCCTCAACAATAAAAAACAGAAATATATTTGTCCATATGTACTTCTGCAAGTCAGCTGTACTTATAAGAGGTTGAGCATATACCAACCACCAACCATGATTTTAAAGTTTGGCTTGTTTATATTGGCTATTGTTGTATCAAGGGGCAAGACACTACACCCACTTTGCTTAGTCATCACAGAATGTAAAAAAAAAAACAAAAAAAAAAATAGAAGACTAGTTACAAAAGGGAGGTCATCTGGAGCTGGTAAATAGTTCCAACTTGTTTGATGGAGCAACCCTGACAAAAAAAATAAATAAAAAAATAGTGTGGGAACTGTGCAGCTGGAATTCCATGTCTTAAAGGTGCACTGCGCAACTTTTTGGTGGATGTTATTGTTTTGCGTGGAATCTTACATGGTATGACATTAAATATATCAATCTAGCATTTATTTATTCATTGTGGGTGTTTCTATTACTCAGAAATACAGTAATACCTTCTGTGAATAGGGGCAACTCTTGACAGATCTGAACTGTAATGTAGCGTAGTGCTGTAACTTGCTTGTCTCCCTTGTGAGAGATAATTTATACTGTGGAACATTCTAGACAAAGCAGTAACATTACCATGGAGACAAGCAGATGGCAGATCTTCCTCTAGAAATGTTATGTTTTCAAACTTAAAATTTTTAGTAAATAGCATCTTGGGAGTCTGTTTAAAAGTAATCAGTGTTTTGCTCTGCTTTTGTTGTTTTCTTGCAGCTTTAACTGTACACCATGTTTATCAGCATCATTACAGTGTATGTGTAAAAATATTCTATTATTCTAATGCAAAACTGTAGCCCACCTGCCTTGTTAACAATAAGAGAACCTTGAAATAGTGCAGAGTTTAGATTGCTAACACAATTCACCTCGCTCATATCCTGGTACTCAGAGGGAGGTAGATTGATTCTGGGCCCTGGTGTGAAGCCTGATGACTAACAAAACGTCTCCACTGGCATCCGTGCCCTAAAGCTCTGATACACTCCACGGCCGTTTATTTTTGAACTGTCCAAGGTCATTGTTCGCTTCGACAGATCACAAGGAGCGGATACATCAGATCTGCATTCAGTGCCGTGTCAGTACTAGAGATGTGCTAATACCGCTACAGGTGTGTGTGTGGCCCTACTGTAGCGTGCCCGAGATAATGGTGCAGAGCAGAGGGGGCATAAGGGGGGCAGAGGAGGGGCAGTGGGGGCAGAGGGGGGGTAGTGGGGAGGCAGTGGGGGATTCTGGTTGACAAAGTGCAGGTACTCTTTGATCCCACATACTCCGCCACACTGCTTTATTCTGTATAGTCTTTTGATGTCCACCTGAAGACATTATGTGCCAAAACGGATTTATGTTTCCATCGTCAACAAAATCTCCAGGAATTCCAGAGTTTTTATTTTTAACATGAGTTCAAAAGAAAAGTAATCTGAGTTTTAAAAAATGTGAATCTCTATGGTTAACATTTGTAAAAGAGTCTCATCTTTGATCTGTAATTGTGGCATAAAATTAAAGGGGAAGGCCGCTTGTAAAAAGGAGTGCACATGACAGTATGTTTAATCTGTTTTAGATCACAAGAATGATGCAAGAATCTGTTGAGATCTGTTACATTTTCTATTCAGTGCATACAGTTTATTTTTCTTTTCATGGAGTATTGCTATTTACTAAAGAAATATTTAAAAATGCATTCTCCATTACTAAAATTCAACTCTATGCTATAGAATACAATTTACTGTGTTAACTTAAGTTTTGTGAAAAGTAAAAGTAGCAAAACAATGATTTAACTTCTCTCTAACTGATTTGACTTCATTCTACACATTATATTAGCACAATTAACATGTATTTATTTCTGATTTATTTATTTTTTGTATGTGTTTCCCTGACATTGGCTGAGACCAGCTCCAGCAGGCTGTGGGCTTTGTCATAGTTTAGTCATACTGGGTCCTCTTTGTGAATCTCTCGTTTGCGGAGCGCCGTTGAATCCGGCAAATCCTTCCCAGACTGTATGTGTTTTATGAGTCTGCTTTAGCACGGTCACTGTGTAATTAAGAGCTGAGTCATCCCACTGCTACTAATATAAAACCGTCAATACATGTAGGCAATGATCAGCTAATAAGGCACTATAACAGTTGTGACAATAAAGCAAATGCATTTAAATTACTGTTACAATTTTTTTAAGTAAAAAAAAAAAAATAAATATATAATATATATATATATAATATATATATATATATATATATATATATATATATATATATATATATATATATATATATATATATATATATATATATATATATATATATATATATATATATATATATATATACTATCTCTGTTCCTGCTTCATAATATAATTTTAAAGATATACTTTTTATATTTCAGTTCAGTGGAAAATTGTTCTATCTTTGATACACATTTTTTGCACATTATTGAATTTCTTTTGAACCTCTTTTAAATTTTCAGCGATTTTGTAACATGGACTTTTTTTTTTTTTTTACCAAGCTATGTAAATCACACTGACATTTTGTTAGATTTTGGTCTAAATATAAAGTACATTATAAATGAAATGTATTAGTGTACTAATTATTAATATAATTACTATAACTTAATATAACTTATTTCGTACTGCTTCGGGAGTTTTTCCCTTAGGGGATTTCCATAAACCAGTCTTTATTTATCCCACTCCAATGTTGGTTTTGCTGTATCTTTAATTTGAAGCTAAATTAAATTGACTCCCTGGCTGTAGATAACCTGTAATTAAAATGCCTCCTGCACGTTGTCCTAAGTAATTTCCCTGTTGTTTCATTTTCAGGCCGAGCTGTTAACAGGCTGCCCGGTCTCCAGTGTGGTCGAAGCAGAGCATGCCGGACAGAACCTACTAGCTCGTGGTTGTGGGGCAGTTATCATCACTTTAGGACCCCAGGGTTGTGTGGTGCTCCAGGCAAAAGGGTCCACATCCAAGCACATCCCAACAGACGCAGTAACAGCTGTAGACACAACGGTAAAGTACACACAGTTTGTTGCATATCAAAGTATTACAACTAAAATAACACGTTCTTTACATTCACACTGCTTCGTTTTGTTATAGTTCTTATAATATCTTCAAACAATCATGTCCATATAATTTAGTAATAGTAATACTATCAAATTTTATTTTCTTAAAATTAATTAGTCACATAAAAATTACTTAAATTGTCATATGATGTAAAATCAAACTTTCTCTATATATTTTTGAGTCGAACTACTTACTACTGTTATTATTGTTTAATTCCACTGTATGCAAATGTGTTGACATTCACCCTTATTTTTCATATTTTTACAAGCACACATTGATTTTTTTTAAGTTAATACATTATTTGTTTTACCATTTGTTATTGAAAGAATTACTAATATTTTTATTGATTCATTTGTAACAGAGGGTTAACCTTATGAACAATTCTGCATATTTTGAGTTCCCAAGAGAATTTTTACTCACACTTCTCTGAAACAACACATGCTCTGCTTCGCACTATTGATTTATTTACATCTCCTGAAATAATCAATTCTGGTACTTTTGTCGAGTGGAACCAGGGCCGCGCTGACCAGCCTCTCTGATTGTAATCTGCGATACAGGCTAGCAGTGCTTGACGCATTTCATAGCGGGTTTTGAATACAGTTGTCGTCACATGCACTTCAGTTAGTTTGAGTTTCCTGTTTCTGAGGCTTCTGTGGTCTTGTGTGTGTGTGTGTGTTTTAACCAAGCCTGTCACTGCTCAGAGGTGATTATCACTTCACCTCGCCATGGTCTTTAATTGTTTGTGTAATGGAGTGTATTGCTAACTAGCTCTCTATAGGGACTTTTACCATGTTGCAATTCCCCAGTGCTGTTGATGACTGCTTATAGTAAATCATGACTTAAACTCTTCCGACGCCCACTCTAGGCCCACTCTTGTGAAAACAGAAATTATTGACCAATAAAAGTTTGTGTGGGGTGAAAACTCAGAAGTAATGGCACTAAGACTGTGGTAAAGCAAGCCTGTTTGGGTGGTGTTTAGAAATCTAGTGACCTTCTATTATTTTTGTGGCTTAACTAATGTTATTCCTTTTTTTTTTTAGTAAATTAGTTTTACAATTATTGAAAAGAAACTTCACATTTTAAAGTTGCGCAACATAAATGAAATGATTAGAAAAGCATATCTAGGTATGCTATCTAGGCTTTTCTGAATATAGCTTGAATTGAAATGACTCAGTTGTGATTCTGATTATATTGTGATCTGAACGATTATCAATTAACCAACTAATCTTGATTTTCCTAGTAAGAAATTTTATCTAATGAAAAATTTAGACCATGGTTTATTTATTTTATATTGATACTTCTAATTTTTACCATCTTGAGAGCATCTACTCACACAATTGAAGATTTAGTTTAAGTATAATTTAAATTATTGCTATAATAAAATTGTATAATTTTTTTTTTGCAATGAACCAATATAGATAGAAAGATTTTAGTACGTTGGAACGCCAAATATTTTCTGGTAGCGCTTGTGCAATTCACTTTGACATTTCTAGAACAAAAGACCTACTTTCTTGAATACCATCTGACTGAAACCACATTGTGAACAGGGACACACAGAGCTCCTCAAACCATCTCCCTTCCCATAAGCCCCTGGGGTAAAGGCACCCCTCCACGCCTCTTGTTGTGCTTGTTGAGTCATTATTTGGCGCATCAGTCAGTAGAAAGCAGAGTTAAGTTTTTTTGTGGTTGTGCCGGCTGCTTGTCTCCGCTGCGTTGGTAAACACGCACTCACACACTCACACACACACAAACACGCACACGCACGCACACATACATCACCCCTCCTAACCCGCTTCTCTTTGATGAACCCATAAATCTCAGGCTGTTTAACTCTTTTGGACATCATAATCCCTGTTCCAGTAAGGCCTTTAGTTTTTACAGAGGAGCACTCAGGAAACAATCTGTTATCAGGATCATTATTCACCCCTTTGGGAATGTTACACTTTATGATTACCTTGTGGCCTATTCATTTGCTAACCAATATGCTAATTAATTTAACCATCTTAACATATTTTCACTGTTGTTGCTGTATGTGGCCTGTAAACAACAAGAAAAACTGCCTTGAATGGGTAAAATTGATAATATTGTTGGTAATTATTAGTAAATAAATAAATAATAATAATAATAATAATAATAATAATAATAATAATAATAATAATACATTATTCTTTTGATTTTGTGAGAGTAGAATTGTTTTCATGTTTCTCAAAATATTTCTGGTGAATTTTCGTGATTTGTTATCCAGTGTGGAAAGACATATTTTTGTTATTATCATTTCAGAATCAGAATTTGTTTTTCCATGAAACCAGAGACTAGCCTGAACCAACTAGTCTCCAACAACAACTAAGTCTACTTTACTGCTAGTGGTGACTGTGACTTTTCTACTGTAGTTCTTCAGTAGCAACGCATGAGTCACTTGTGGTTTCTCACTTTGCAGCTTCTATTGAGCCATGTGCCAGGGATGACCCGCTCTGAATGTAACACAATTATCCTCACTGTAAAAAAGCATTTGGTCACTTTGTTCCAGTAGACACAGATGGACTATTATTTTTGCTCTATCTGCTGACGCCGACTACTGTTGGCTAAATTATGTACCCTCCTTTTGTCAACAACTCTTTGCTGCTAAAACTGTTTGTATAACACTTTTTACTTTGGCAAGAAATGTTATGGACTGAGTCAGGCTTGTGAATCTGTTGGAAATACTTGTACTACGCATCTCAAGTGTCTCCCGTAACGTTCTTTTGTTTGTTCCCTTGCGCTAAATTGTGTACAGGCATCCCAAGTAAGATCAGAAGATTTTGTTAGGACAGTTAGACAAAACTTTGATATACACACATGTTTTAGCCCGAGCAGGACTTGGGTGGCCCTTGTTTCCACTGTTCCGGGAGGTCTCGTCTAGGGTGAAAGGTAGACATTACAGCACTGCAGTGGTGGGTCCCGGACAGTCAAATTGTTCTCACATGACTGGACAGTTAGAGGAACGCAATCACTTTGTTCCTTCCTGGAAGCTCAAGGTAAAATAAGACATCCACCCATAGTGTTCTTTAACTTTGTGAATGCCGGACAGAGAAAAAGATGGAGCCATAGCCATTAAAGGAAATCATTTTAATTTCTACCAAAATGTATCAGTTGTACAGACTGTGTATCTATGGCAACAAAGTTATTATTCCTTTATCTGATTTGACCTTTTCCTAATATACTTCAATCTATGTTTCATTTCATTTATTGAAACCTGTTTGAGTCAATATAACACATGAATTCATCTTCAGCTTGTCTCAGTTTTAAGTCTTTTTGAAAGCAAAATCATTGCATTGACAGACAAATGTAATATTTTACCCCTGGTCCAGTAAAAGTACTACCCACTTTTGCAGTTGGGTTTGTGGCCAATAAGAAAACTGCCACATCACCAGTTTAAATAGCTCTCATCTGTTGCATTTTGGCCAGATGTTTCTTTGCCTGTGCAGCATGACTTGCATCACCCTCAGTGTTAAATAGTGAAAGAGAAAAAGCATTGGGGATGGTGATGCAAGAGACTAATTGGTCTAATTAAATGTTTTTTTGATCTTGTGCTCTCCGGCTCAGTTGCCTCTGAACTGTGGTCCCCGGCTGATAGCGAGCCTTACTGGAAGCTTCCGGATGTGGAAGCCTTGGTGAGTCACGGCTGGCCCTTCAGTCGGCCTTTGCTCTCCCCGGGGAGCCTTTCATTGACAAAAGCTGTAGGCTTCAGGAACTAACGGCACGCAGCTCCATCTGTCACAGTGCGCTGGGAATCGGGTGTGTGCCAGGCTACTGGTCGAGATATAAAATATAGTACAGGTTTCAGAAAGGCTTTGTGAGTGCAGCCGGTTCATTTAGCACTGAAGATGTATGTATGATCTAAACTGTCAGCTCTAGGCTGATATTGGAGTTTGATAAATGTAATTATCAGCCCTGATGCTTTTTAGCTTTGCACTTAAAAGTAAGACTTGTCAGTAAAAACCTGGGTGGCTTTTGTCATTTATACTACCTGTGAGTTTTAGACTGACTTTGATCGGTTACAATTGCTTCACTCAAATTCCATTTGAACTGTTTTGATGAAGTTCTGTAATACAGTATTTTTATTACTTTTGACCTCAATGGGGCTGATATATTGTATACAAGATAATACTGAAATTGTGTTTTTGAACATATGAAACATAACAATATTAATTTTATCGTCTATAATTTAAAAAAGTTAAAAGTTCCTAAATCAACTTTAAATTTACAGGTACATTTTAGCACATTTGTAGTGGATTGCAAATATATCATTTGATTATTTATTAGGACATGTCATTTTTGTCCATGTCACCCACCCTCTACCAACCTTGTAACAAACAAGCTCTAAAAGAGAGGAGTCAGCTGTTTTTCACTAGGCCGCTGTCTAACTGCACAGAACTTCTGGATCTCTACTCGGTTTATTTGGTGAGCTTCTGAAGTGCCATCCCAATCGTGATCATCAGCTTGAGCTCCAGCAGAAACACGGCAGAGAAACGGCACAGGGTCAAGACCGCCAGAGCATCAGCGCTCCTCCGCAGAGAGCACTTGTGTCATTTGATTGACAGGTCCCCACATCTAACCTTCATCAAAGTGTGTCGAGGGCGCAGCACTGTCAGCCTCACTGAGCCTCAGTCAGAGCGGCCACGAGCGTCACATGCCAGTCTCAAGTCCAACAAACAAGGAGCCAGGAATCAGAGGACAAAGTGTTCAATTATCTGCCTGCTGAACACTGTGCTTTTAGAGTAAATCTTTTATAGCTCATAGCAGCATAGCAACTACACAATATTATTTTAACTTCTTGCATATTGCTTATGTATATAGTATTAGTTTTTACCTGCTCTATAGACATTTATCAATTTTAAAATATTTAAAACATCACAAAGAAAATATCAAAATTATAAAATATTAATATTTTTCTAGAGGTCAGGTTGAAAATACTGTAAAATGATTGTCTTTATTGCAGAAAGATTAGAAAATTACAATTCAATTGACTGATTATTCAAATTTTCCTTTACACAAACCACATTAACTTTGCTAAGTACATAGGCTGATCTAATAATAATTTTAGATTCAAATTTGCAGTGCTAGTTAGAGGGTGTGAGACACATTTGCATTAATTGTAAGAAATCAAATATAATCTAAGGAATATTTGACCATTTATAAAATGTTTCAACTGACCTTGTTTTTCACACATGACAAATACTTGTATTTTTAGCTTTCAAGCTGTTCTTATTTTTGTGCTATAAGTATGTGGTTTAATCATCGCTTCACCACTAAATCACACTAAAGTGGTGGTGTCATCATCCTGACCACAGTGAGAACATGGGCATGAGCAATGTCCAAAATAGCTCCAGAGCATCACTACAGCTGTACTCTCAGATTCTCAGACAAGACATAAACGCACCTTGGACTGCCGCATGGAAATCCAGCCGGCCTGTAAAAGGGTTCAGCTCTGATCTCACTCTTTCCAACGTCTTCCCACTGAAGGAGCCACACCAGCGAGAGGGGGTGGGGTGGAAAAATGCTCCTTATAAATGTCACATCACAGGAGCTTATACATTTCTGGTCTCTATCATTCTTAAACATTAGCAATTATTGTGAGATCTAGTTTGAATCTTTCCTTTCTTATAAAAAGAATGGAGACATATTTCTTGAAAAGCAAAATATATTGCACACAACTGGACTCATCTTTCAGTTAAATACCCTTTTCACTGACACATAACCTGACAAGTGTTCAGTCTTGCCATGGTAGTTCTTCCACTTGTCGATCAAAACAGCGATCCACACATACGTTAGTCATCTTTTGGGTGACAAGAGCTCAGATGATAAGTTAGTTTTATGATGATTTATTTGATTCCAACTCAGATAGTGAGTAATACTGTTTTATGAGATTGGTAACTGTTGATGAGGCCGTTGCTGATGTCAACCCACCCCAAGGCAACTGTGGCTACAATATTTACAGTTCAAGTGTGGAGAGTGAATGATGCATGAATGATGCAATAATGCAAGACCAATGCATTATAAAATTGTATCATCTTATATTTGCAAGATTACTGAAAATGTATTTACAAAAAACAATTCATAATATAAAAAAACTATTACTTTTTGTCTTTTGTGCTATTTGAGACTTTCCCGTTAAATGCCCCAGTAGGGTCATGGTTAGGGCCTGTTTTTTGCCCCTTCTTACTGACTCATCTTCTCAGCTGTCACTTTCTTGATTGGTTAAACCTGACAAAAGGGTTACTTTGAGGTTATAGGGGGTGCTTGCAGAAGTGAATCGAGGAGAGAGACTGTGATGAAGTCTTCTTTTGAGATCCAAAGTGATGAGTAATGGCACGGGCCTGTGAGAACCAGTGTCGGGGGCCATTTGTGGTTAAACATGAGCGTGTCGCCACATACCAGTGAGCCTTTTCCCATCAGTGGACCCCCCTCCCTGCGTCCTGTTTGAGCCCACCCCCCAGGGCCCAGACGCACATTCCATCTGTATCAATAGATGAAAAGACAAAGAGATGATATTTCTGAGATTACCAAAACCAGAAGCACTGAGTTATGGCCACTGTGACTAGCCCATTTATTTTTAGATGTTTTTTCTTTTCTTGTTTGAATAAAGAACACCTCAATCACAATAAACATGTACTATTTATATATATGAGATCATTTATTGTGAACTATATGTCAAAGGTTAAACAACATACAGTATGCTTTTACTTGTATATCCTAATGATAAAACTATATTTTATTGTATAGTTATCTAGGAAAAGGAAAATATTTTATTGTAGTTGTTTTGCTCAGTCTCACATTTGTCTTGTAATAAAATTGTTTCTTCCAATATGCAGCAACTTGCCGGCTTGAAGAACATGCAAATTGAGTAGCAGCTACTGATTAGTGTCATAGTGCCCCCTACTGCATAGCCAATTTTTGCACTCTCATGATCATTACAGTCCTAATCAGATATCATTATAATTGTAATCATTTTTCACCAATATGATTATGCACATGTTGAATGTATATTTTTTTCATCTTTTTAGGGTGCTGGTGACAGTTTCATCGGAGCACTGGCATTTTACATGGCCTATTATCCCACAGTGCCTTTGGAGGAGATGGCGAGGAGAGCTAATAAAGTTGCTGCAGTAAGCGTGCAGACCATGGGCACACAGACATCCTTTCCCTTTAAAAAAGATCTGCCTTCTGTATTATTCTGAAGCCTTGAAATCAACTATATATGAATCAAAACTGCAAAATTAAATATTTTTAACAACAGATGAATTGTAATATATTGTATAACACTTAATTTTTAATAAAAATGTACAAAATTGAAATGTAAATACTGTAGTTACATTTACATAACCAACTTGTCAAAGCCTGGTCTCATCTTATGTCGGAAACTAATTGATTAACAGATTAGTACTTGGACAGGGGAATGCTGGGAATATCAAGTACCACAGCAGGGCAGCAGTGGTTGTAACTCTTACTGATACTGTGTCCTTGGGGAAAACACTTGACACACCTTGCCTCTGCCCACGTATGCTTGTGCCTTAATGAGAGGGTTTGAGAGTGAATGCAGGAGAACAGATGGAAACTAGCTCATAATTTTGTTTACAGCATATATGTCATGTATATTCATTAACACACACATAAACAAATGATAGTTACATTAGTAATTTTTCCCACAAATAGAATATAATACAAGGAGCATAGATGGCAAGTCCATTTTGAAAGTATAATGTGAGAATCCTAACACATAAGAATAAATGCATAATCCAGTCTGGTGCAACTCTGTACAATCCACTTTGAGATGTTTTCATTTTGTCCATTGATAATTTTCTTTTCTTGAGAGTAGCATTAAATAGACCGAATCTTCCTCTTCTCAAAGAATAATACATGCTTGTTTACTAGAAAAAAACAAACAAAAGGGCAATGTTTAAAAACAGGAGTAATTGGACATTGACCACAATAAGCTTATTAGCCCAATGAGAAAGCTTTTCGTAGCAAATGTGTCTCACCAAATGGATCATGTTTACGGATGACTAGTTTATCTTTCAGTCTGTTTCTCTTGGTGTTGAAGAAGTATCCTGTTCCTGCAGCGCTTACCATCTGCACCAGGATTGTCCTGTTGACCAGCAATTGTAACAGTTACGTTATGATGACTATTTTTACCATGCATTTGTAATAAAACACACTTACTTGGATTTTGCTTTGGCCACTAGAGGAAATAAGAGCAAAGAACATAGTTTAGACATGCTTATAAACTTTATCCAGTCAGGTATAAACCAAGATCGAATCTGTAGCATGTAATTTCTTTATATAATAACCCAAATATTTGACATTTCCAAAACATTTAACAGCAGTGATGTGGAAAGAAACTCGAAGCCTACTAGCATCGAAAAGCATGAGGATAAAGGCAAGATGGGTTTCATAAACAAGGATAGAGTATAGTTGCGGCATACTTTAAAATGATAAAATGTTATACTTACAATTAACAGTGGTTAGAAACATTATGACACGTTAACTGCGCATTAATAAGCAGAAATTTTAAAGCACTTGAGCAGCAGAAAAAAGTCACATTGAAAATAGAAGCGTTTCCGATATCAGAACCACTTCCGGGTACTCTTAAAGAGACAGTGCAGAGAGAAACCAACCATTGCCTGTAATATTGTATTTTTTGAACATTAATTGCTCTGTTAAAATGAGATGTAGGTGACTAGGGAAATAAAAATTGTATAACCTATACTGGCTCAAAACCTTTAAAAAGACAAGAAAAGCATAATAGTGCACACACATAATCATGTGTTAAATTAAGAAAAAAGCCCCTATTTTTAAGCAATTACGCTTCACCTAAGCAAAAACAATTTTACTAGCCTCATGTCTAAATATTTATTTATTTTATTTTTATTTTTTTTTTTACAGTGGATTCATTCCTTGGACATTGGTGAGTTTAACTACCCCCCTGCAGTGCTTAATGAACCTCCTGATTTAACTCCTTATCATATTATATAAAACTCATAATTCACAGTAACTGACAAGTCAGCTCTTTCTGGAAAAGATGGACCCCTGCTAAGGAGAGATAATTGCTTTTGTCATAATCATTAACCATTTGAGATTTGTGAGGCTTATTTTAGGTATCCCATGCACACATGATACTGTAACCAATAGGCTCCTTTGGAATAAAGCTGTCTTTCTGATCCCAGAGCAGTAAAGATAAACAAAATGTCCTAAATGGTAAAATGAGCAGCTAAAAGCATTTTGAATGGGACTGAGAATAAAAGCTCAAAGTAGGAGAAGAGTATTATCTGAAAATCTCTATTCGAAAATCCTCTCATCCTTTTCAATACACCCCTGTGTTTGAGGGCAAGATCTCCTTCAGTATGTTTCTGGTAATTTTACTCAAGTGTTTCCGGTGAAGAGCAGCTACTAAGAACTCAAACATCATTAAAGCCGGTTTTGGGGGGGAGCTAGTATGTCCAGTGGGTTTTCCTCTATATTCATATCTGGACTCTGCACCAGTGCACATTTTGATCCAATATGGTCGACTTCCTGTTCATTATAGAGCAGTGCTTCAATTCATTTTTAGGCTTGTCTCATGGAGTTCCAGTGAGGATTTCTGTTCACAGGATGTTGTTGTTTAACAATAAATAATACATAAATAATACGCATGTTTAAGAAAGTGGCACTGTTGTCATATTGTGAGTCTGGCCTGAGGCAAAACAAGTGATGGATTTGTGGCACTGTGGAATGTGCCACTACTGTGGACTATTGAACGGACATGATATGAATAACAATGTTGTATGGAAATCCCCCAACTCATCTCACACTAAAGTGTAATTAGATAACTACTTTTTGGTGAAGATTGGCTGAATCAAGTCTGTAGTGGTTTCACTCTTTTGACATGTACATTGGACGCAATAGAGGCTTCAAGAATATAACCCGAGGACCTCTTACAAAACCTTTGGCACATGGTTAGTATCGACATGCATGATTTTTTTGTGTTCAGTGCACTGCTTTTAAAATACAGATTAAGAGAAAATATTATTATTAGGTTATGAAACTTGCTGAATATGATTACTGTAGCAAACCTTACTTTACAGTTGCAGACCAGAGCAGGTGATTACAAGCTTACAACCACAATCTTAGTGCAGGGCAGGAGCAGATGTCAGGATGTGTGAGTGGAACATCCTGTCTAACAGATCATCATTTTGACCAACCTCCCCTATTCACTGTCCCTCTCTCTCTCTCTCTCTCTCTCTCTCTCTCCCTCCTTCTCCCTCTTCACTTAAACTAAACACAGCTCTGAACTTTCACTCAGCATCTTGTCCTTCAACATTAATCATATGGCCATTCAAGTTAAGAACAATTTGTGTGAAAGATGGGCTGACTGTGATGACTGTGACAGAAGCATTTGTAATTATTATTTTTTTAAATCTTTGGCCTCAAACCCACAACATGCAAAATAAGTAAAATTCTCCAATGTCGTCTTGACAAAATCATGGCGACGGGTTCCTGCTCCTGAAGGGTTGCCTCAGAAGCACTGAAGTATGGGTCAAACACAGAGGACATATTTCTGTATGGGGACAATAAAGTGTACCTTAACTTTAACTAATCCCTTTGGAGCCACAAACCCATAACTAACTCAAATTAGTGCATTAGTAATTGTGTCCATGAGCAAGACACATTTCCCATGTTGAATGCCTTGAGAATGTGTGATTGGTGGTTTTCGAGGGGCCAATATCACAGACTCACATCTCACTCCTATAGCAGTCTACAGCGCAGCTATGGCTCTGGAGTAGCTCACCATGAGTTTGAGGAATGAATGAATAGTTTACACAATGTAAAAAAATATGCAGTATTTAGCTAACCCAGTCTATTGATTAATTGGTTTGTTGTTGTTATGTGTGAATTTAGCTTGATATTGTGTATTTAGCCCTAATAAAAACATACTGCCTCTTTGTATTAGCTCTTATTACTTATTACTCTTTTTTATTTTTACAGAGGATACCTGTTGACAGTTGCACATGCCCTACTACTGAAACAGCATCAGTATTATTAGCTGCCACAACACTTTGGCTTTTCTTTGACCAGACGAGCCCAGTGGTACAAGGTGACGGGATGACTCACATAAATACAAACAGGAGAATCTCGACTCCCCAGTCTGCGTCAGCACACTTCTTATCAACTAGTATTAAGAGCCAACTGAATCAGGTCTCATTGCATGTTGCCATTTTTCATCAAAATATTATGAAAATACATATTGGTACCAGTAATTTGAATGCCATTGAACAGGGTGTTTTGTATATGATTTTGAATGTTTCTATTCAATTCTCTATATATTTTTTAATCATAAACAATAATTTCATTTTAGTATTGAAAAAGTTTTATTCATCTTAACAAGTATTTGTTGTTTATGTTATCTATCATTTATTAAAAGAATAATGCTCACAACTTGAAAAATTATTGTAAATTTTGAAATCTGCCAGCAACTGACAACAATATTCAAGCTATAATGAATTTGACATTTGACATCATTCTGTGTCAACATGCAGTCTGTCAAAATGCAATGCTAGCAAATAAAATTACCATTGGAACATACTGCTGGTGGTGCAAGCCAAAAAAAATGCCCTGAATTGCTTTTCCATTTGCGTAAATGGGAACAATCCAGCCTGTAATGATGTCACTGCCGATGTGCATCACGTCTCCATGGATACACCAATCTGGTGGTGGAGAAGCACATGGCTCTTACAACAGCAACAGGTCTGTGAGGTGACCTGCAGTGGGATAGGCTTAAACACAAAATAACAATTTTCTCTTGATAATATTAAATTAGCCTTTAGACTTTTCTGTTCACTCTAAAATTATATTTTTCTTCCATGTAGCCTATTTATTTAGACCACACACTTATCCTGTCAACCTCACTTTTTAGCCTCAACATAAAAATAAAACACCATATTAGAAACGAAATGTGTTGTTCTTGTTTAATCTATTTTGTTGTTTTTATCTCAGAGTCATTTTCATTTCCCTTCACTCTAAAATGGTCACTTCCTCCTTCTATATTGGGCCCAAGTGATATTTATAGTCTACAGCAGGGTGCTACACAGTTGTCCTGATGACCATGGTGCGTTGTTAGGAGTAATGTTATAAAACGGCCAGCCAGTAAGTGTGTCCTCCTCCCATCTGTTCCCTGTGTCTCCATTTTGGCCTGTTCCATGACGTAAAAGGCTGAGTGGGAGTGGACCAACCTTCTGCTCCCCGAGAGAACTGAGTGGGCCATTGCCATCCGCTGTGAACTCACAATACACACCCAAGCAGCAGGACAGGGAGGAAGAGGAGAGAGGAGGGGAATGGTCAGGAGAAATTGGGCTAAAAGAAAAATAGATTCAAGTACAAAACCAATGTGCAAACTGTACAGTCAGAGCTCATGTTATTTATGTTTTTTATGTACAAAAAAATCTGATGGTGGGTCCATTACCTGCTTTTCTTCATGGTGATAATATTGGACCAGGAAAGTTTGAAGATGTCTTAAATGAAACTGAGTGAGTCACTGGAGATTTCAATAGTGATCCACATGTGCTAACAGAATAAACTCAATGACCGCCTTGAAGACTTGCCATTTCTTAAAATAAGGCTATAACAATAATCATATTAAAATTGTAAATTGATTATGTCTTATCTGCATGATGTAACTTTTTATTGGAGGTCCGTCACCTGCTTGTTTCTATGGATATGTCATTGCTCTGCCTGGAATGTTCCACACTGTAACATTAATCAGCTCTACCTTACTATTATTTAGTTACAGGTGGGTTTATGGCTCTAAAATACCTAAAAAAAAAAAAAACAGACATTCTGACTCTGACCTGTAATTTGGTTTGGTTAGAAGATAGAAAGATTTCATACCATACTGTGAAACATCTGAGACAAAGCAATAACTTCCCCTTCAAGGAAAGCGTTTGATGGACCCTCCATCAGAAAAGTTACACAACGCACCTTTAAATGCTGAAATTATTGTAGCCAGCTGATATTTTCTTAATTATAAACCTATTTACACAAAGCACATGCACAACAAGAATTCCAAGAAATTAAGGTCAGCTGAGAGTCTGTTTAGCATTCTCATTAGCATTTCCTCCTGCATTTTCATTATTTGTGTTAGCTGACCTTAAAGCATTTGTTTCTTATGCTCTAATTTGAAATGGTAAAATAACCTACATTATGCCCAATTTTATCATGGCCAAACCAGTTCATTTGAAGTCTTTTTTGCGATAATACATCTTTAGATACATTTCTTAGCATTTTAGCTGTCTGTAACACTCATAGCAGCATAGCATTGCAGTATTACTGATAATGTAAAAATTCTATTCATTCAAATGGACCATTGTGTAACACTTTTACGCATGATTTTTCCTATTAAAACGTGTAAACCTTCGGATTAAAGTGCTCCCCATGAGACCTGGAGCCTATTTTCTGCCACTTCCTGGTCCTCCTGCCATGGGTCGCTTATCTTTAGTAACTCCACCCCCCTCATCTTATCCATCAGTGGCTATTTTACAATTTGGCTAAATCCAGCTCTGAGGTAACAAGTGACACCTCCTGTTTCTATGCTTCCGGTCGCTATAGCAACCT